AAATTGGAAGCATTGCGCCTCCTGGGGAAGACCAAAATGTATCCAGTAATACAGCAGTGTAGGGATTCAAATGTCTAGAGAATTAAATATGAAGATCGGCACGATTGTGTTTAGAGGACAGATTGCCCTCGGCTTAAGCGCAGCAACTTTTGGAAATACAGATCTCTGACAAGAACAGGGAAAAAGACAAGAGAGACTGGAAGGCTCACTTCTCGTGTATTAGTCGTCATCATCCAGCCATGTTCAATTCCAGGTTTTTCGGAGATCCTGGCATTTGGACGCTGGATCTGTGATCTACACTTATGCCATGGATGCGTATTTTGGTCAGTCACGATCGGGAACAAAATTCTATTATATAAGTCTCTTTTTGAATACTTACTTGTCCAGGTAGGAAGCATATTTGTTAGCTCCCTAAGCAGCCGTTAGACCACTGGCACTTGGGCGGGGGATGGAAATACGGTGCGTGTACTTTGTTGAAATTCCATAAACCCACATGCATTTGTCCCTTCTTAAGCACTCACAGCATCGCGCAAAAATGATCCGTCAAGCATAACTGAGCTAGATTTATGGGAGGCAATTCAGATAGAGAAGTCGCCTGTCAGAAAAACGCAAACAAAGCATTAGTACGCCATCCGGAAGGCTTATTTAAATAAAATGAGCTGATTTGCCGAATAAAAAGAGACATACGTGCATGCCATGAATGCATCCTAAAATTAAGGCGCTTTTTAGGCTTCATGTGCAAGTTATGGCCTGAAGTTCTGCATGAATGTAAACAATATAGTCAATAGTTCTTACCCTATAGTTCGAATTATTTGCCAGTCTTTTTGTCCAATTTTAAAGGACTTAGGTCATCATCCAAATTTTTCGACGAATTATGGGCGGCAAGTAAATTAATAACTCCTCAAATAGCTAAATATAAAGCAAATTTGACTGGACCAGGTTATGCAAGAACGCTAATGTTCTTTTTTATCTGCGAGTTCGGAACAATCGAGCTTATTTTAGATGTTCGGCTTAAGGCCGTACTGAAATACAATTCACTGGGAACATCTGGTGACAAAAGAAAATATTTGGGCTGAAATTGCTGCATTCCGCTTAGCAAAACTGCGGTATAAAAACGGAATATCACTTTTAATCTGACTTACGGGGAGTGCTAAGAACGTCTTTCACCCGTACATCGATTTCACAACTGGGATTGCTGTTGGGTATTAAGCACAAATTCTGATACTCCCAGCATCCAAAACAATTAGACTTGACCCAAATTTGACGATAGCAACGTAAGGGGTGTTGGCTAAATAACCTCTGCATTGAGCATCCCCAAAATTCCATTATTCGAAGCTCTGTTTATGTTACTCACCACGCCCAAATTTACTCCCTCCTCTACTCCCTTATTCAGGTAACTACGAGATTAAAAGTTACTTTTACAACAGCAAGTGTATTATCATGATCTGTCTGTATGAGTAAAATTGTGTAATGAAGATACGCGTGGCAACATTTGTCTGCGGCAGATAACCAGTGCTGAGCCTGAAAGCATCATGAATTGCCCATCATGCATTAAGACTGATATATCTTTCATTTTTCCACCATGCTTTTGATTACAATAAACACTTAGGATAAGCCTACCAACGAGTTTTCGAACGGAAGAGTGCGTAATGTGGGGCATTTTCAAAAGGAGTTCTTATCACGTTACATATAAGCAACGGACGGAATGATCTTTTCGTTTTCCACTAATTTAACCTTAAGAAGGATCTGTGCCTACTCCAGCCGATTCACAAAGTTACGCGTCAGAGTACTTCGATGACCTATGACCCACCAGTTGGTGAAGGAACGTCTGTAAAATAAACGCCCTGTCAAGGCTCAATAAGCAGGTGATTACCTAGTTAAGTTGAGGAAATTCAGTGTTGACATTTTAATGAAGTCTTGATAAATTTCTGCACCTTCATGCTGCGATCATTTCATCTCGACAGAAATCACCCTGTTCGAGGGGTTAAACGCATTCACACTAAGCTACTAATTGGTGGTTTGGAAAGCAACGGAAGTCGAGATTTAGTGAGAGGGTGACTTCGGTCCAAAATTATGTATATATATTTCGGAAGAGCGTAACTCAAGAAGCCGTCAGAGATTTCCTCTGCAACCCGGCAGACGAATAGTAGCAGAAACACGGCACTCCTTCGGAAAACCGATAACACTTAAGAGTGTGTCTAACATTTTTGTTGAGCCATCTTGAACCGAATGGGCATTTTTGGTATATACCCAAGAAAACTCCTTTGATAAGTTAACTTTGGGTGCATAAAAAATCGGGTTATCTCAAACTCAAGCATGTCAGAGACTGAAAGCCAGAAAAAGTCAGAGTTTATGTGGAATGCGAAAAAATGAGTCCACATTCGTTGCTTAATTGACGAGAAAATCCTGATTTACATTTTATATTGGAGCCAACGTCAGAATCGATTCTTGGTATATTGAACGCGGTTATACTAACAAAACGAGGGACGAATAAACGTAAGGGGTAAACTTTGTGCTTTTCTTTTGCCCAAAAGTCAGAAGCTTGATTTTAACAGGTTTGTTTTTCGTGTGGATTGCATTTTATATTAACAATTCAAAGATTTGCTTTAGTTTTTCAGAACAATTTCTTAGGTTTTGACACAATCGGCGGTCATAGATATGTGTAGTTTGTGTTCGCCTTCTCCTGTCATATTAAACATTTTCATATGCCTGTTTTTCTGTCGCGTGAGACATTGACGTTTCATTCCGAGGTGCCTGGTCTGTGTAAGAATATAAAAATTTGTCTGTTGGACAATTCCACGGTGTTCCAAATCCAGACCCTATAAATAGCAAAACGCACCACATCAATGTAAATTCGCCTAAGAACAAACTCCCATTTTTATATTTGTTTTCTTGTAGACCCAGATTGTCGGATTGAAGTTCAGACGCCAAAACATAACGTCAGACAAAAAGTTAGTTTCTTCTGGAAGTAAGATCGTTTCCTACTCAAGAGACGACAGATACGAGAAGAAACTAGAACTACCGTCAGTCACCCATTTTATCACGAGCGGTCGTTCTACCGCCGTTACCGAAGATGTCTACCGCGTGCTCCACAGCAAGGTGCAGCAAGAACAGTGACTTGTGAGCGAAGTAGTTTATAATAGGTGTAGCCTTGCGCAGCACTTATCGCGCCCTCTCTTCCTTCTTTACAAGCTTCCGGTGTTAAGACATAGTCAAGAAGACCGGAGGTGGGAGAGTTCAGGCGGCTGGCGCGACCGGAGCCGCCCCTAGATGTGCCGCCACACCCAGCTCGGATCCCACGGAGTAGGAGTGCCATAGAGGCCACAATTTGAAGGACCCAGTGCAGCCTGACTCTCAGACCTCCAGTCGGTCGACCTACACAAACGTCCACTGGACCGACAGCGCGGCCCAAGTTAACCCGTCTGTTGGCAACCTTCCAAGCCACGGCTTTTAGCGCACTGTGATGGCCTCAAGCTCGTCAGATTGTTTATAGTGAGGAAAAGGTACTGAGTCGTCGACCTTACTCTCCTTTCCCATTCCCAGACCCCAGCCACTGTCCGAGCCGGTCAGTTGACAGGTGAGGGGAATGGGTTCGATGACTGACATATCTAGTGGCCTTATCTGCGCGTGCCACATGCACTACCTGGTCCCACACACACGAGCACCGGGATTTCACACAACAGGGATTGGGCGGCATACATCTCACATGCGTGAGACTACCAGAGGTCACTTCAAGAAAGGGCTGTAACAGCTTGGCTCTCAGCCGACCAGTGCGCCACTCCGCGTAAACACGCACAACTGGGCAGACAGCGTGGACTGGGTTGGTGTGTCAGACAGCAGCCTTCCAAGCCACGGCGTTTGGCGTACCGTGATAGTCTCAGACTCAGATCACACATGCAACAGACGAGCCGCATGGAGAAGAAGCCGAGAAGCACACTTTCTGGGGATAGCCATTGGGTGTTTGTGATTGGTGATGGTGTTGTGTGGTGCAGGTTGTTGGTGAAGGCAGATGTGATGGTGTGGTGTAGCCAGCGGTCGTCTATCGGAAATTTTCATGAATGCCAATGTGTCCTAGTAAGCCCATGCGATGAGTGAACGGAGGTGTGCAGTGTGAGCAGTGGAGGCAGATGTGGCGAGGCAGGCACTGTTCCGCCAATCTCTGTGCGATGGACTCGCAAGTGGCCAGCCAGGCCGACGTGTGGGGTGAAGGCACGATCGCAATGAGGACAGGTTTGGGCCGAGTCCACATCACCGGTGCTGACGGTAGTGAGGTTGATGTCTGACGGTGCGTCAGGACTGTGCGCAGAGGTGGTGGGGGCAAGAGTAGCTGCAGCAGATCTTGAGGCGATGGGGGATGGCATTGGGGCTCAGGAGTGCGACCAGCGTTGATTGCCGGCGTGAGGGGGGGGGGCGAGGCAGACGTGGGCGGGGGGACATCGGGCGGTGTCGTCCGCATGCTGCAGTTGGTTTGAAGATGGCTTATAAGACTGATTGGTGCCCGGAACGTCCGCTGACAACATGGGCAGGTCGAGGGCGGTTGAGCGTTGAGGTGGAGAGATGGGGGCAGTTGAGATTTGCGATCTTCACGTCTGGCTTTGGCAGCGGTTATGCGGTTGGTTTCACTGTCCTCCTCCACACCGGTTGTTTTTAAGTTAAGTCTTCCCACTTGGCCAGGCTGATCTGCAGGCGCTGCAGGGAAGCCTTCTGAATGTCCTTATAGCGTCGGACTTGACTTTCCTATTGGCGGGAACCCGTGGCAACATCTCCGTAGAAGAGTCGTTTGGGTAGCGGCTCATCGTTCATCCGCACGAGGTGGCCTCTCCAGCCCAGTTGCAGTTGTCTCAGCATGGCATGGAGACTTAGGATTCCTGTCCGTTCCGGTACGTCCGTGTCCGGGGTCCGGTCCTGCCACCTCAATTTTACTATCCGCCGAATACAGTCGAGGTGGAAATGTTTGAGCCTCAGTGTCTGCTTTTTGTATGCCGTCCAAGTTTCGTTCTATGCAGCGTCGTCTACAAGATGACGGCTTTGTACATGTTGAGTTTTTTGTTGAGGTGGAAACCGTGACGATTCTAGACGGTGTTTCGCATGCGGCCGGTGGCTTGGCTAGCCTTGAAAATCTGACGGGCCACTTCATCGTTGATTTTGGAGCTGCGAGGAAGAGTGTTGTCCAAATAGCTGAAGTTGCCCACGGCCTGCAGTTGAGTTCCGTTCACGTTGAAGTTGTCATGGTTAATGTGGCCACCACAAACTTCTTCTGAAGATCGCATAAGGATGTTACCTCTGTACAGCATTATATTATGAGCTATGCTAAAAGAGGAAGGCTCATTCACTTAAGGACTTAAAGAACTTATCAAGTGCGGTAAAAGAACAGCTGACTATGTACTCGAATAAGAATTAAGTATTATAGTCTATTGAATGGCTTGCCTAATTCGAAAAGCAATGGTTGGGCAGAATAAATGGAATTAAATGATAAATTAAAATATGGGTTTCCATTATTGCCCAGGTCTTCTGCCTATGATAAGCAGTCACATTAAGTCACCACAGAGCTGATCATAACTTTCTACAACTATAGGGCGGGTGTCTTATCAAGAATGTCCAACTGTAGATGCCGAAGTATAAACCTGTTGCAGAAGCCTGCCGTCAGCTTCTTTTCATATGCTTACAGTTCGCGCAGAATGCGTTTTTGTTGCACACATCCGCTGATATAGCTAGAGTACACTGTTTGTCGGGGATACGATGAAGCAACCTTGTGCGGAATAAATATCCTCTTCCCGATATTTCCTTCTTCTGGACCCCACTCCTTGAATACAAACAATGCAAAGCCTAGGTTTCCAAAATTTTGGTTCAGCGACTCGAGTGCCACTTGTCGCTAGGGTTTCAGATAAGGCTGAGAAAAATATCAGAAAGGTAGAAAGTCGCTCACCGATAATTTTACGAAACTCACTCGTCCGGTTGCGCCTTATGGCTCGCTCCCGAGCCCACACAGCAGCCGCACAGCGGCGCATGATATAGGCTGAATAGCATCCCCGACTGGCTGTTGGCGCTAATGAGCAAAAAACGGCCATTTCAGTCTCATTTGTCTCCGTCGTTAATGCATTCCTGTTAACAAGACACAGAGAATCACTTGAATCAGTAAATTCTTCAATCCTTATAGTCTTTCTGAAGAAGATGAAAGACAAGTTGCACTTATTGGAAAGGTCTAGGTGTAGTATTACCTTGAGTCATATAATCAGTCCGGGCTGCCAGCTCTGCTGATTCACCGTAGCTAGAACAGTAGACTCGAATGACGTAGGCGAGTGCTACCACCATTCAGACATCAGTTTACGTTTTTTTGCGCTATTCTCAGATGGGATCTTCACCACCTATCCGGTCTCAGGATGCCTAATTTGGGGGACGCGAGACAATTCCCCATGTAGTTCTAATATAACTGTGGGCTAAAACCGTATAATCACGACTATTTTATTTGGCCTCCGAAAGCGGTCAAAGGGTTGGTTTCACTTTGAACAGTTGAGAAGTAGTCAAAAAGTATATTAACTTCCTATATCGCCCGAAGAACAATGCACTAGGAGGCGTTAATAATTCCAAGGTATATTAGCGCGCACTTCAAACGGTATTATCATTTGGCGAAACTCGTATGAAAGTCTAAATCCTTAAAATACATTCTTGATGTGTCTTTTAATTATCCTGCTTCAAAATGACCACTGTCCTCGTCGATTCATTTTTCCAGCCGATAGTTTAAGTCTATGAATGCAATATTTAATTGATGCACTTATATTGCCAGCAATAGTTTTGCACCACGACTTTGTGTTCACTCACAAATCATGGTTCTATCAAACAAACGACAGGAGTAAATCGGAAGACAGGTTAGTTAAACATGATGGTTCGGGAAGTGGTTTACCAATATTCACTTATTTGGTTGAATCATACAACTAGTGCGCAGAGACAGGACGCTTTATCTAATCGGAGAAAGATATCAGTTGAAAGATTCAGTCGCGGAAATTCAGGAAGGCATAGATTTCGCGACATTATCAGATAAACCTTACTGGCTGCCTCAGTTATTGCCTCTGCAGATTTTTGACACCGTAGATCGTGGTTTGTCAATATTGACCCATTTTCCTAACACATTTTCTTCCGTCTACTTGGCGACTTTTTAGAGACATGCCCTTTTACGGTTGTTATTAGTTTACATACGGAGAGCTAAAACTCGCAAACCTGCCCTAGAAGAATATTACTGGTTGGAAATAGGGGAAAAGTAGGGATGGATTGCAAAATTTGCGTTAAACATCACAAAAACATAATTTCCAAAACTGAACCTTCACTGAAGTATTGTCAAAAGGACCCAATATTTAGTTTAACATGTCACCATTTTTTTAACTTTTACAGATCTTTGTGAATAATTTACATTTGCATAAACTATCACTCTATGTCTTATGACACAGACAGACCCAAGAAAATTCAAAATATATCTTCAGAAGTTTAGGTAAAATATATACGGCCTAGATATCCGCTGAAGATCACATCTTTAGATTACTTGGACAGAACTTTGGTTAAAGTTAGTGATAATTCCAGCACCATAAATGACGACGTGCACCGTGTGCGGAAAAGTGTGCGGCTTGGATCTGAACTTGTAGATGGTGCCATAGATGCTGCATTATGAAAGATCCATTGCATGCAGACTCTCTGCCTTGAAATGAACGAGTTATCACGCCAGATGGAATCCCTTCAGATAACGGTTTTTAGCCCACTGTGATAGTTTAGTAGCAGGACAGATTGCTTCTAGTGAGGAATATGCACTAAGGATAGGGAGGCGCAGTCCCCAGATTCGATCCCGCTCTCTCCTCCCTTTTGCAAGCCACCATATTAGTGTCCCAGTCGGCCAGTTATCCGATACGCGAATTGGGCGTAGTAAATAGCAGAATTTAACAGCACGTCTGCGCGTACCGCACACGACCTAGTCCTCACGTGGCGCAGTTTTTTCACAAAATATGGACCGACGAACTAGATGTCACATGCGTAAGAACTCCTTTAAGAGGCAGATCATAAGGAAGCCATTGTGCCTTATTCACAGTCCGTCGCTCGACCGCTCCACAGACGTTACGAGGTCTGATTTAAATCAACAATTGACAACCTTCTAATTTACGACGTTTAAAGCGTCGCGATAGTTTAAAGCGTGCCAAATTTATTAAAATAAACAAAGTCCTATGGTTTCATGTTGATGGAATATCCAGCTTTGTGACACGTTGATAGTAACTAATGGGTAACAGTGTTCCTACTCTCCTCACCTCCGAACAACAGTCTTTCTCACCTTTTTTGCTTCCTGGCCCTAAAAATGTAAATCCAACGTTCAGTAGGCTGAGTACAAACAGAGACTCTAGATACCTCCCCTGAGGGCAAACTTTTGATAATTTGCGGTGGTGTTGCTGGCACCGATTGCTTAATTTGGAATCTCGGCCTGGAAGAGTGGCTATAAAAGAAGGTGGTTCATACTGGACGAAAAATTGCTAAACGTTCATTTGGGTTGAATTGTGATAGACGGGGACGAAGAAGGTGGGTTAATCACAGCGGGAAACTTCATCCCTCTTTCCTCCTGGGAAACAGCAATTAACTCGTTGCCACAGACAAATCCTGGAAGGACAATAAAATTAGAAAATAATGTCATAAAATGGTGCGATTTCGTAAAGATGTCAACGAACAATATGATGTACACACTTTGCATTAATATATACGGTTAGTAACATATAAGGAGAAATGGCAATAATTTTGCATTAAAACCCATGTAACGCACAGACGCCCATCCCACATTATTAAAAGTTATTCTGCGTTGAAGGAGCGGCCGATATCCTAGAGAAGTCATGGCTTGGTTTATAAAGTGTTGCTTATTAGCTAAGAAATAATTTACTTTATCGAAAATCATCGCACCGAAAAGCGACTTTATGACGGGTGAATTAATTAGGGCCTAAGAAACCTGACGACAGAGAAGGAAAACATGATGCAGCAAAATAATGATAAATAATAGCTAATACAGCGCATCAGTACATTCTTGATTGTCCTTTTGCTTTTAAAATTGTCAATAAAAAGGGAGAAAGAAGAGACTACTAAGTTACCCGTGCCGGTTTGGCCTATACAATTCTTTATCGTGAAACCTAGCTTGTGTTGCAGGTAAAGCTGTTTTCTTTCCATTTCGCAGTTTATTTGATTGGCGTAAACAGATTTTCAATGGGATTGAGGCCAGGACTGTTGGCAGGAATAAACACACTTTGTATGTTACAGGCGGAAGGGCTGCTTCGGATTTAAATAGTAAACTATGAGCGTAAGGTAACTTTGAATTACATCTCCTATGGTAGTGAACAGGGTCGTCATCTTCCGACATCACAGTGTTTATTCAACGTGGACCACCTCCATAGTGACCGAAGTCGTCCTTTGTGATGATAAAAAACAATTTGCTACCGATAGTCTCCATCGTTGATAGACATGTCGACCGCCCTTCGAACATAATAACCTTTCAAACCACCAAGCGTGGATAGCTCCTGAAAGTCCATTTCAATGGAAGGCGTACTCATGTGAGGTTCTCAGTTGTGACCATCTTGGCCGATTTCGCAATCTTATCTAAAAATGAGACCTCACCATAAAAGTAGATGTTCTTCCAGAAAGAAAGCCCGCGATAAATATATTCTTGGACAAACCAGATATGGTTATTAAAAGATTCTCTGTTTATAAGTGACTTTGTCATGGCGTTTGCGCGGAAGAGACCGATTTTTTTCTCTCTTTTACTAATTATGCGCAAAGAAACCACTGACGAATGTAACTAGTGAATAAGTTCAAGTGGCACTTTTGGTGCGCGGCGAATAAAACTGTCGCCTTGATTCCTCGTTTTTCATTTTAATCGAAGTTGCCTGATTTTAGGCAGTATTCTGCTATCAATTATTCTGTGCGGAGTGGTCTGGCAAGCATTGAAATATTAATTAAAGACGCATTCGACGGCCTTCAAATGCCAATTTTCATATTCGCTCAAAATCGACATCCGGCAGGAGGAACTTCGACATGTTCATGGTACGGTGTGGCAAACGAAAATGAGAGCATGTCGCGTGTACTCAATTTATATTGGTTTACGCATTCTAATCCTCTGTGGTAAAGCAAGCTACTGTTATACAAGTTTATTACTGAATTTAATGGCATAAAAGTCCCCAGTTTGCAATAAATAGTTTTCAAAGCTTAAACTGTTTCTTGTTTTTAAAAACAATGCGATTTCGAATGTCCG